AATGAGCAAGGGGGTCAGCTGTGCTTCTGGCACGGCGAAAACCGAATTGGGAAGGAGAGAGAAGATTGTGAGATTCAAGATACCACATTAAGCGGAAGTTCACCATTCGCTCTAATAGTTTGCACAAGCAGCTAGTTAGTGCGATGGGGCGATAGTCTTGAGGGAGGGTACCCGATTTATTGGGTTTCAGGAAGGGAAGGATAAGAGCTTCTCGCCAATTAGAAGGAAAATTTCCTGATGTCCATATGTGGTTGTAAATTTTTAATAGGAAGGATAAGGAGGAAGATGGGAGTTGCCGGAGCATACGGTAGTGAATACCGCCAGGGCCTTCATGAGTGTTGCGGCACGATTGTAGGGCAGTAATGAGTTCAGAGGAAGAAAATGGGGCATTATAGGACTCAGCGGAGGATGGGGTGAAGGTAATGGGGGTACGTTCTCTGGTGGTCTTGATAGAAGAGAAGTGTGGAGAAAGGTGAGAGCCACTACTGACCTGGCTGAAATAATCACCCAGTTCATTAGCGACTTGGAGAGGATCAGAAATGAGGGTATCTCGAATATGGAGGACGGGGGCAGGATGGGGGGGATGTTTGCCTGATAGTTTATGGATTCGTCGCCATACATTTGAGATAGATGTAGAGGATGTAATTGATGAAACATAATTTCGCCAGCTATTTGTTTTACTATTCCGGATTGTACGACGAAGACAGGCAGATGCTCTTTTAAAGGAGATAAGGGCTGATAGTTGATTTGGAGTACCTCTCTTGTAGCGGTAACTGTTCCAGGCTGCACGTTTTAAGCGAAGTGCTTTAGTGCAATCAGAATTCCACCATGGAACACATTTAGAGGTATATGGTCTTGAGGTTCGAGGGATAGCTGTATGTGCAGCTCTTAAGACTGTAGTTGTGAAACATTGTATCATTTCTGAAATGGAGGTGAGGGAGGATGGAGGGGTATGAATAGCAGAGAGCGAAGTGAAAGTATGCCAGTCGGCTCTATCAAAGCACCAGCGTGGGGAGTTAGGAAGTGGTACGTATGAAGTAGGAGAAAGGAGAACTGGAAAGTGGTCACTATAGGGAAAGTGGTCTAAGACTGACCAGTGGAAATCTATATGAAGAGAAGGGGAGCATAGAGAGAGGTCAATGCATGAAAAAGATTGCGTGCGTGTATCAAAGTGTGTGGGGCGATCTGAATTTAGAATAGTAAGGTCAGCTGTGGAGAGGAAGCGCTCTAGAGATCGGCCTCGGGAGTTGGTAATAGAATCACCCCAAAGAGTGTGGCGGCAGTTAAAGTCGCCTACTATGAGGAAAGGTGGTTGAAGTTGGGAAATTAGATTTTCAAAAGCAACAAAGTCAATGGGGTGGGAAGGGGAGAAGTAGACTGAAATCACTGTGATCCAACGATGAAGGAAGATACGAATAACTGTACAAGGGACATTGGTTTGAAAGGGTGGTGTGACATAAGGTGTTTTCTGATTGATAAGTATAGACGAGACATAAAGGGAATGTGGGGAAGAGACAAAATGATAATTGGGGATTGGTATTGGAGGATGTGTAAGAAAGGTTTCTTGAAGGCATACAATAGATGGGTTATAAGAGGAAAGGATATGACGAAGGTCAGGTCTGTGGGAGCGGAAACCGCGAATATTCCAATGAAGGATAGTTATACTTTCGTTGATTTAGTGATATACATTGCAGTACGTGTTGGAGACTTTGAGGGGGAATCAGCTAGAGGGTGGGATAAGGACTGAGAGGTTTGAGATGGGAGAGATGTGGGAGTTGGTGTTCTATCAGGAGGGGTATTAGGAGATGGAGGGTCTGAGGAAGGGGATACTTGTGACATAAGGGATTCACGTGTGTATCCAGGAGGGAGTGGAAGGGATAGAGGGGATGGTGGGAGGGTTAATGTGGGCTGGGTTGGGGTCGGGGTCGGGGGGGATGGGCTGTGTTGGGAGGGGGTAGGAGGATAGGGTGTAGGGGGGATATCGTTAGGAGGGGGATGGATATCAGCAGTTACTTGGAGTGTGGAAGGAGCAGGGGTTGTAGGTTGAGTGTCAGTTTGCATTAAGTAATCTTGAATATTTTCAATAGTTTCTTCTGAGGAGTTGGTTGGGGAGTTGTGGGGGATAAAGGATTTCTTGTGAGGGGGGGAAGAGAGGACTGGTGTTTCAAGAGTAGGGGCAAAGGATGGTGGAGGTGATTGTGTGGTAGGGGAAGAGGGGGTGGAACGTTTGTTCTGTCTGTTACGGGGAGTGCGAGGAGGGAGAGGGGAAGGTGTTGGGGTTGTAGTGGTGATTGGAGTATCTGTATTAGAGATTGGAGTTTCTGGATTTAGGATAGCAAAAGAGTTAGACTGGGGAAGGTAGGAGGTAGAAGTGGGGGGGTTAGATGTAGGAGGGGTGGGTTTAGGAGAAGTGTTAGAATGAGCAGTATTACTGGAGTAAGGAGTAAGAGAGAATCCACGTCGACGTGCTTCCTGTCTGGCTTCACGCAGTGTGAGTCCAAGTTTGAATTTGAGAGTTGCTACCTCAGATTCAAATTTGTAGGTGGGACAGCCCCTATAAAATACATTATGGGGGCCGCCACAGTTGGCACATGTGCGTGATTGTGCAGAGCAGTTAGATCGGGTATGGCCAGGTTGGGCACATAATGGGCATCTGGCTGTGGAACGGCAGTGTTTGGCTGGGTGTCCTAGACGTCAACAATTTTAGCACTGACGTGGAGGAGGTTGGTATGGACGAACAGGGAGGGATTCTCCTCCTATGTAGACGTTAAAGGGAAGGTCATGTCTACGGAAGGTAATTTTGGCTATGTTAGTGGGTTTCTTTCGATGACCTCTGGGGGGGATGGAGTAGCATTGTACTGATGTTGCATCGTAGTCTGTGAGACAGGCAAGTAGATCTTCTCCACAATCTGACCAATCTTTGTCATAGATTGGGCAATTTGCTGGTGAGATTGAGACTGTTCCGGTGCAAGTATTGAGGGTTGGATGGGGTTCTGCTAGGATGGGGTTACCATATTGGTCAGTTAGTTTTGTTAGTGCTATGGCTTGGTTTTCGGATGTTACTGTTACAAGACGGGAGCGGTCGGGTCGGCTACGGAAAGAGACTTTACCTACTTGTTTTTGGAGGCATTGTTGGAAGAGAAGGGTGTTGTCAGAGTAGGGAGCTGTGGGAGGGATCACGAAAAATCGGTCCCATTTGGCTGCACTGAAGAGAGTATTCAAGATTGTTTTAGAGATAGGGGTGGTAGAAGGGCGAGGGCGTGACGAGGATGGAGTAGTGTTGATGGAGGTAGTGTTATGGAGAGGTGGGCTATAAGGCTGTAAGGTATTAATAAGGGAGGATGGGGTGGTTGATGTTGGAGGTTGTGGGGGTAGAGGTGTTGAAGTTGGGCATGCTGGGAGAGTGGAAATGTTCCTTGAGGGTTGATTATTGGCTACTGTACTAGTAGGCATTGGTGAAGGGGTAGTTATTGCAGTGTTCGGAGCCGTGGTCAAAGGAGAGCCTGGGGTCGGGGAATCAGGTGGGTTTACTTCATTGGGGCTATTTGATAAAGGGGCAAGCCTCATTGCCCCTAATAGTGGAGATATATTTTCATTACTGGCCATGGGAAGCCTGGATTATGTTGGGGATAAAAACAGTCCACCCCTCAGGGTCCCCTTGAGGGGTAAGGGCTAGATAACTAAATCAGGGGAATACCGTGCCCATGGCTCCCTCAGGCCGTTCAGGACTGGCACAAAGTCAGCCTTTCATCCTTTCAGCACGGCTCTCACACCTTAGGAGGTGGATAGCAGAAGGGTTTGGTGAAGGGACAGAAACAAAAGTGGGAAGGGAAAAAAAGACCATGCATAATTAGTTGAGTCGAGGGCTGAGTCCCAAGGTTGGGGAGTTCCCCATCATTGGGTCCCAGTCTCCGCCTCCTAAGCCCCCCCACGACAACAACGGGCAAGGGATTGGGGGGGCTCCTGAGGGGTGATAAGACTTATTTGGGCGTTTAGGATGGAGCTTTTGCCTTATTTCCATCGATAAACGAGTGCGGCTTGTAATGACTGGGGGAAAGATTCAGACTAGGTCAAGTTGTCAGCATGCATAGAAGAGAGGGTAGTAGTAGTGGTCAGAGCCGTGCTCAAAGGAGAGGTAGGGGTCGGGAAACCAGAGAAGTCAAAATCGGATAGTTGAAGGGGCAAGCCTCACTGCTCCTAATACAAACTCATTATTGGCCATGGTGAGCCTGAAATATGTGGGAAATAGAAACTGTCTACCCCTCATGGTCTTCGTGAGTGACCCTGGGGTGGACATATGAAGGGGGGTTAATGATCCCCGACAATGTGCCTCACTCCGTTTTACTTTCCCTGTCCCTCTCAATAGCAGCGACCATGGGTTTGGGGGTAACGAATTTTATATAGTTTGTATTCTTCGGGACCTTTCAAAGTTTCAATTGCCAAGATGTTACTTTACTAAAGTTTTAATTTGTGGGGTCAATGATTTTGATACCTCTTGTTTCCATAGATATATGCATTTTTTTCTTTAGGTGAGGCCGAGAACCAACATAGGAGTGATCCCCTAAAATGGGCTTCAGTTGGTCTCCTCAGGTCAAAGGTAGGAGCGATTCTTTCCCTTGGGCAGCAGTCACCATTTACTACCGCACCACCCCCACCCCCACCCCCGGGCACTAGAGAGTTTATAATGTAACTTCATTGTGCACGTTTTCCAATACCGATAATGGCTCGCAATATATACACCAGGAGAAAAAAAAATTAACAGGCTTGAAGTCATTATTTTAAAGTATTCTGATACTTTCTGATTTCAAGTCCAAAGGAAAGAAGGCCACCAAATTGGGGAGAATCTTTCCAAACTCCTGAAAGCCTTATTCCATGGTAATTTTGTAAAAGAACAAGGAACCAATAACTCTTCAGTGTAATTGAAGTTAAACGAAATATATTTTATTTTCCATTTCAAAGCTGCTTCTTCCAACCTTTACACAGGTGAAAATGAAAATTCATTTCTTCTCAAAATCTTATTTCATTTAGGGAAACAACAAATCTTCCCTTATAACAAAATTATCTACACATTCTCTTATCTACACTTTGTACAAACATTCAACATTTACACTAAGATGAAGCACATATACCCTTCAAAACACTCAAGATGAAGATGATTAAGATGAAATTAATGGACCACATTCGGGATGCCGAGGTACTTCTTTGGAATGGTTAACAATTCCTTTGACTTGTGCAAACTTCATGTTTTGCATGTCCCTTTTCCTCGTTGAGACTGTCCAGGGTTACTTCTAAATACATTGAAGATTTCCTCCCGCTTCTTTGTTTTCTTGTAAACTAGACATAGTTCTGTGGCACCTATGTACTCTTCGTACCTCTTGTAGAAACAAAGTAACTTTGTACATAACAAAAAAATGTTAGTTTACAAATTAAAGAGTTTCTTCCTAGCCAATCCATGGGCAGCTTTACATCATGCCGCCCATGCCTCCCATTCCTCCCATGCCACCCATACCTCCCATACCACCCATGCCTCCCATACCAGCCAGCTCTTCCTTGGGGATCTCTGTAATGACACTCTCGGCTGTGGTAAGGAGGGAAGCCACTCCAGCAGCATCGGTCAGGGCTGTACGGACAACCTGTTGGCCAGTAAATTCGGAATTAGTAATCTGAAGTCAAGAATGGAGTGTACTTTGCTGAATTTTAAAGTTCAGAATTGGATCTCAAAGTAATCATTGTTATATCACAATAAAATGGTTTCTTTCATCATTTAAATACAAACTGATGGACATGGAGAGGATTGTATGCAAGTCTAGTGGCCATAAAATTAACTTACCTTGGTGGGATCAATGATTCCTGCTTCGACAAGGTTGACGAAGGTTCCTGTAGCAGCATCATATCCAACATCTCCCGTAGCTTCCATGACCTTGTTGACAATGACCGATGCATTAACACCAGCATTGCTAGCAATGGTGTGGCATGGCGTCTGGATAGCCTTGCGGACAATTTCAATGCCAACCTTCTGGTCTTCATTGCTTGGAATGAGAGCATCCAAAGCAGGAAGGCAGCGAATTAAGGCAACTCCTCCACCTGGAACGATGCCCTCTTCAACTGCAGCCCTTGTTGCGCATAGAGCATCATTTACACGATCCTTCTTCTCGTTCACTTCAACCTCCGAGGAACCTCCAACCTTCACAACTGCCACACCCGAGGCCAGACGAGCCATACGCTCCTGCATTTTCTCCTTCTCGTACTCGGAGGAACTATCAGCAATCTGGTCCTTAATTTGTTCTACACGACGCTGAATATCGCCAGAGTTACCCTTGCCCTTCAGCAGGAGTGTGTCATCCTTTGTGATCTGCACTTCTCCAACTTGGCCAAGATCATGGACCTAAAAATAAAGAATAAGATCTAAGCAATATATAATGTTTCCACAAATTAATCAAACCATTTCTTCTTATTCAAGACTAAATTTATTTTCTTAAGTAATTATTTTTCAAGGCAACAAGTACAAGTCTGTTAACGGCCAAATGCATAAGCATTTTACAATCAGATATATTCAAATCCTGCTACAAATTGTGTCTAACGTTAAAATTTACCTCTACACATTTCTTACCTGAACATCTTCAATCTTGACCATGCTTGCTTCATCATTGAAGACAATAGCACCTGTTGCAATGGCAATGTCATGAAGAGTATTCTTGCGGTTGTCACCAAAGCCTGGAGCTTTTACAGCAGCTACCTGGAGGCCAATCTTCAAGCGGTTCACCACAAGTGTGCTCAAGGCTTCACCATCAATGTCCTCAGCAATGATCAAAAGAGGTTTCCTGTAAAATGAAACTTGGGTAAATAACATTGAAACTTCAGAAGAATAACATCATTCAACATTAGTTGAAAATTTAACCAATTCAAATGCTCATAACTGTACTCCACTCCTAATTAACACATACATACTATAAATATATAAACTGAATATACTGATATGGCTTTCAACATCAAGTTGACCAATGAAATAGGCATAAATTATTGATACTTTGGGCACTTATTTTACAAGTATGCCTATTCTTAAAACCTATACACACTGGCCTATTCCTGACCACTCAAAGAATTACATTTATATATCTGACTATACTGGAAGGGCAAGTACACACGCAATGTCCACTGGTTTTGCAAGAAGTTTGTTTACACACAGATGACGACCTGATGGCTTGGAGTCAATATCCATCCCTACCTCATCTGACCTGTTTACCCCTATTCCTTGATTTTTTATTTATGTTTATTTATTCTTTTTTAGGTATGGCAGAAAGTATGTCCATGCTTCAAACTACATTTTTTGGTTTTTTTTTTTTTGAGTTGCTTGGTGTGGTTTACAATATGGCATTATGTATGAAATCAGTCTATTTATAGCTCGATATGTGGATTCCTTTGTTAGGAATCTCCTGGAAATGATGTCAGGCAATTACTCTAAAGTTTCGTATTTAAATTAGCCAGATCCTTTCAGTAGTTACGTCGCTGCCACTCCTTGAATATTGTGCTTCAAAGTGGACCACAAACTTCTATAGAAATAAACCTACATGCATTTATTCAGCTATTACACTAAAATGGACCCTCAAGAACATGTTGACAAAATTTGAATGAAATCTCTTTACGTGCACACCCTAAAAACTGCACCATCCCAAGCCATGTCTGCGTAAACAAAGACCAATATGGCCACTATTGTTGTTGTGTGAGAAGGCATGTCATAATTGATAAACAATCTGCCTCCTCTTTCTCAATTTTGCATTGTTATTAAATGTCAAAAAAACACACTTTGCACATTTTAGAAATTGTTTGACTTAACTTTTACCATTCACATGTTCCCAAGATTTGTTGTTAAAAAGTGATTTAAAAGTGATTTAACCATTTTCCTAATGGTTCAATAATTATCATGTTGGATCATTAGCAGCTCTGTAACACTGATAAACTAAAAATTTCAAAACAATCTATTACAAGTGAGGTTACACTAACACGTCTAAAAATATACTTGAGGCCTCATTCTTCCCTATATTATATACTAAAAAAAATGCCTAATTAATTCTTGTCATATCTCTGGTTCTATTTATCAGAGTATTAATTCTGGTGACATTTTATTGCAATTTTCATGAGAATTCTAAATATATTTTTATCATTCTATGACTGAAAATTTTACTGCCATACCTACTTACTATTCGTAATGTTGACAACAATGTTTTAGGAAACAAAACTTAAAAACTGAAAATTCAAGTAATGGGGTACACATGGCCAGTCATACTGGCCTAATAACCAAAACCTTGATGAACTCATTGCTTGTTATGCCATGTCTGTAACAAACAGCTGTATACAAATATACATCCATACAAAATGGATAGTGCATGTACCAAGCACCATTTAGTTACAAGCAAAACTGTCTTACCTCTGGGCATTGGCCAGTTCTAGCACTGGAATAATGGACTGGATAGAAGAAATTTTCTTCTCCGAGAGCAAAACAAGGCAATCTTGATATTCAACCTTAGCCCCCTTGCTGGAGTTGATGAAGTAAGGAGAAATGTAACCACGGTCAAACTTCATGCCTTCAATGACCTGTTGAATTTTCATCAATTAAGGCTTCTAGATTGACAATACTTACTCAACTATGCCAAGATATCAGCAATTGCACCACCATGTAAAGGGAAATGAAACAAGCAACCAAAACTTACCTCCAACTCATCCTTCAAGGTCTTGCCATCCTTAACAGTGATGACACCCTCACGACCAACCTGTAAAATACGCACATTAACCAAGTGCTCTATTCTCAACACTGAATTAACTTAACATTTATACTAATGAAAAAAGAGGCAAAATAAGGTAAATTACCTTCTCCATGGCTGCTGAGATAAGACTGCCAACTTCAATGTCTCCATTAGCAGAGATGGTTGCAACCTGAGCAATCTCAGCAGGAGTGGTCACAGGCTTTGAGAGGGTCTTCAGGTGAGCAACAATGGCATCCACAGCCAACATGACTCCACGCCTAAATCATAAAATATGAAAGTAAGAACATTTCTCCTAAAATTTATATTCATATTTCTTATATTTATATTCTTTATCATCATCTTTTTAATGTGTGATATTTCAAAATAAAGCATGATACAATAATAAACCCATTTGAAACTGACAATCAATAAAATACACTACTTCAAGGTTTCTACTAGTCTTCAGAAAACAAACAGAAAACTACGTTAGTAAAAAGCACTCGTACCTGATCTCCACAGGGTTGGCACCTTTGCTAATCCTGTCAAAACCTTCCTTTGCAATAGTGCGAGCCAGGACTGTGGCTGTGGTGGTTCCATCACCAGCCTCCTCATTGGTGTTGTTGGCAACATCTTGAACCAACTTAGCTCCAATGTTCTGGAACTTGTCTTTCAGTTCAACAGCCTTTGCAACTGTAACACCATCCTTTGTGATCTTGGGACTGCCCCAGCTCTGCTCAATGATTACATTTCGACCCTGCCACAGGATGAGAAATAATCTACCATTAGTTGAAGTTTCAATATGAAGGTTACTTGTATTACAAATAAAAACAACAGCAGCCAATGCATAAACCCAGGTTCAATGGATTAATCTTCCAGAATTGGCCTGGTTTCAACCAATTCACAAATTGCATAGCTGTTACTTAATAGGTTATATGGATACATATTTTAGCTTCAAGTTCAGAGGCTAAACTTGTGTAATTTTAGTGTCACATTGCCAGCTAACCTTACATTTATTATTCCTCCTTTCAATTAATCAGATCATAATATACCTAAATCGGTGGTCGTTTTCCACAGCAAATGACAAAAATAAAAGTATTGGCAAGCGTTTATGAAGTTGCCTCACACTAGCCCTATTATTCCAACCACTACTACGAGATTTATAAACATTGCTGTACGAACCAATAAATATTAATTTTGCCCACAAACCCCCACCCAATTGCTATATATTCCTATTATGGACCTCTACCTGATCACCCTGGATTTTATCTCTGAAGCATTAGTCACATTATTTCCTCAATATCTAATGTTATCCTTTGCCTGCACATACAATTTAACTCATTGTGTGTAGTTCTTGAAATGGAAATCCCATAGATGGAAAAAGTTTTATTTTCTGTTGCTCTATCCATTGCAGGTAAATTTTACAACGTACCAAGTGGCTTTGGGAAAAACTATACCCATACTTTTGGTCCAGTTCATTATTTCTTCATAAGAGATCACTGAACATTTCATTCAACAGGTAAATGTTACCGAGAGTAATGCATGGAGATGGAGGGAAATGGACACTGCCATCATTTAAAGCATAAAAAATAGAGTAATGAACAACACAGGTACAGCTGCAGCAACCTCAGATTTACCCCGAAATGACAATACTATCCACTGCATGTCACCACTCAGACTAAGTCAATAACAGTTCTTAATGCTCATTTTCTAAAGAGCTATTAAATAGGGGGGTGGGGGGGGTACAGGGGCACCTGTCCCCTTGTCTAGGGAATATATAGAAGGTTGGAAAGGTTAGGTCAGGAATTTAGGTTATCATGATACCTTAGCTTGGGACTTCACATTTTGAGAATGTATCACTCTCAGTAACCAATAGCTAGCTTTTCTTGATGGTTGGGGTGGGGGTGGGGTGGCAAGGTTAGGAATTGAAGTGAGCAATCAGTTTCTGGGGTGCTGCAAGCCAACCTCCTCCTCCCCCCCCCCCCCCCCAAAAAAAAAAAAAAAAAAAAAAAAAACTAATAAGAAATCAGCTATTCTACGAGTATTTTAAAGTTATGACCAGAGCTGAAAAGGTTTCATTTAGGGAAAAAATCTAGAGGGAGTGGCCCTTGGGAGGAAAGGGGGGTGCAGCAAGCTAGATCTTGAGGGGAGCATTCAAAATTCCCCCTCCCCTAAACGATGGCCCAAGTTCAGCATGCCATTTTAGATTCTGACAAGGAGTTATGTACGCTTTTGCATTCTATGAAGCAACTCATTCAATAACTTGCTAGTAAAATGGTATTTACATTTATACTTCTTTGTATTACTTTTGAAGACACACAAGCAACTTATTCATTATACTAGAACTGTCACTTCATAGATTATAGGACTGTTTGCCCTGACACATCTAACATACCAATTCATGGCATTGCCTCAAATTCAGCATCCAAATATACAGTACTACAAAATTCTAGACCTATCCCTTAACATAAACTTGAATATAATAGAAGCAGTAATAGAAGTGATAAGTAATAAGAAAGGCAACATTGTTACACAAGTATACCACCGCCGCCACCATCCGCATGCGTCGCGTTAAGGAAACTGACCTTGGGGCCCATGGTGACCGCCACGGCGTCGGTGAGGACGTCGACGCCCTGCAGCATCAGTGCCCTGACCTCTGTGCCAAATTTAACGTCCTTGGCATAATGTCTCGCCAGGAAGTGCCTTGTGGCCTGGCGAGCGACGGGAGTTCGCAATAAAGAGGCTGCGCGATGCATTCTGAAAGAGGAAGCAACAAAGGCTAGAGATTGCCCTTTAAATTCCCATGCATTACCAATCTGGAACTGGTTAAGGTCTTTAAAGGTCTTGCGTGGGTATTCAACAGGATAGCCCTCTGCCTCACGCAAAGCCGGCCTGAGGAGGGCAGGGGGGGGGTATTCCGGCCCGGCAACAACACTCGGCTGAGGCCATGTGGGCTCCTCCTAAGCCGGCCATTGTGATTTTCAATCGCATTTATCGTTAAATGTACAAATTTACAACTAGCCCAAACCAGCTATAATGACCCAACCATTCACAATTTCCTTTCATTAAAGCTCGCTCGCCAAACTTACTTTGTAGGAAGGTTTCAGTGGAAGAGAGACACTTAACACGATCCCTCGGGCGGCCTCACGGCGTCTAGAATGAGCAGCAGACGACTCGCCCGAGCCTCCACGACGTCCTCTCGTGCTGAAGCTTCTCGACACACCTGTATCGAGCGTGATGAGGACGATGACGTAACTCTGCCTCGAAACCTTGTAATGCGGGGTTTTAGGGTAACGGTGGTCTTATCAAGTGTAATAGGAAAATATTTGTGGAGTAATTTAATGTTTATTTCTATGTTGTTATTAAATAGGTAAAATGTTAAGTGCGTTTCGTAATCGGAGTTATTCAACTGCCTTGGAATAAGCTCGGTTAAGGGCCCTGGATCATTCTAGAACTCAAGCAAAATTCCCCTACATTCGGATACACATCAAAAAATACTTTAAAATGACCAAAGGAGATCTAAAACCCCTGAAAGTATACATCATCTCAAGAAAAAATAAAACAAATAAAAGGAACACCATTTAAATACCCTGAACAGACCGGAAACAAAAACAGAGGGAAGAGGTGCGCATGCGCTTACGTACAAATGCCATGTGCTCGGCTCCCGTCCGGCTGCAGACGACGCCGACGCCGGGACTAGACGCTTCTCTCACGGCTCCTCTGCTTTAATCTCCGGCTGCCTACTTGAGTTAAAATGGTACGTCCTTTTTCGCAGGTGGATTTGTTTGTGTGTTAAGCTACATGGGGCGTATTGATTAAAACGTTTGGGTTTGCGTTGAGTTTAGATTTAACGTGTAATTTCGGTGGTAATAAATATTAACGTTTTGGTCGGCGTGATGTCGCCTTCCTCGACGAGGTTGGTCCAGCGGCCACTTTTGTCCTTGAGGCCCTTGGCCCTAATTAATGGTTGTTAAGCGGAATGTAGCATAGGGGCGTTTGGACTAAAACCGTGTTTTGTTGAGGTTTCATTTAATGGTGTGATTGCAAGTTCCAAGTTACGTAAGACATTGTTGGCCTTGGTGTTATATGGGGGGGGGGGGGTTCAAATAATCTTTAAATGTATAGGTAATGTGGCTAATGTGTTTAATGCATAGGCAAATACTGTCAGACTATCAGCATAATGTATATTAAAGCATGCCATTCGACTACGGTTAAGAAAAATGGGAAAATTGTATAAAGACTGGTGGTTACTACACTTGATTTTGTGTGCTTTAAAAGGATTAAGGGTTGGTCAGAGGGCCCTTTCATCCAATAAAAGTGCATTTACTATTCACAGTTGTCATAATTGAAAATGTATAATGTAAAATTAAAACATCTATATGATAACTATAATGGTTCTTGGTAGGACATCAAGGCTTAGGGACTGTGCCTCCTTCAAATTGCAAATTAATTCCATATAGATAATGGTTGAAAAAATCATTGTTGAGTTATAAGAAAGCCCTTTTCTCATGTTTTAGGTAAATGTATAAATTTGTTTGCAATATACTTATGTTAATGTGTAGGTGCTGTTGCCAAGGCCATATAGAGCTTGTGCTCTTTGGCAGTTCATCATATATAAGTAAACAGTCCTAGCTCTACCTACCAGACTGCAAGGTGTAAGTTTGTTCTTGTCAAGTGCAGAGACCACTATGATTTCCCGACATTGTGCCAGTTTGCTTAAGCTCAGAACTTAGCGCATCCATCAGAAATTTCTACATGTTTAAATGGTTGGAGAGAATGTATTGTTTTATTTTTCTTTGTTATAGTTTAAATTGCACCTGAATTATTTTAGTAACAGAAAGATACCTGTAAATTTATAAAATTGATGCATATTACAGTACAAAGTTGTCAGAAAATTAATTTTATCCCATCAGCTGCTTATTCTGATCCATATTTTATTCTACCCCTCAGGCTGGTGCCTTGAAGAAGTTTGTTCCTCTGTTCGACCGTGTTCTGGTCCAGAAGGCTGAGGCTTTGACCCGTTACTGCCCAAGGGAATCTTGATCCCTGAGAAGTCTGTAGCCAAGGTCCTCACAGGGAAGGTGGTTGCTGTAGGAGAGGGAGCCAGAACTGAGGGTAACCCTTACTTATTGTTATATCATTGTCATTATTATTACTGATTTGATTACTCTTTTGGTCTTTTTTTTTTTTTTTTTGTAAGAAATTGATATTGAAAGTTTGGTTTGCTTGCTGGTTTTCATATCTAAGTATGTACATGGACTAATACAGTAATTTAGGGTTGTATGCCCCATGTTCAAATTCATTGGCTTACTTTAATAGTGACTATTGTGTTCTATGAATTGTACCTTTAATATTTCTTAAAATATGATTTAGAATTTGATATGTATTAATGATTTGCTTAATTGATAAATATAAATTATTATGGCAGTTTTTTAGGCGTAGGGGTTATGTAGTAATTTACAATTTATAAGTTGTTGCAATAACTCCGTATTATTTGATAACAAAGCTATAACATACAGCTTGAAATCATTTTATGAATACATAGTTTGGCAGTTTGTTGAATAAAACAAATAAAATAATGGTATTTAGTAACAGTATTTGTAATATCCCTAATCCTTATATATTATCTTGTATATGAATTATATTCATATTCTTCTATCAGGCTGGCACCACAATCCCCCCCATGTGTTACTGTTGGTGATGAAGTGATGCTTCCTGAGTTTGGTGGCACGAAGGTTACCCTGGAGGAGAAGGACTATTACCTCTTCAGAGAATCTGAACTCTTGGCCAAAGATGAAGAACGAGTAAGAGCCAAAACCCTGTAGAAGTGGAATCATTGGGTCAATTCGTAGGCTGATGCTTAAGGAAGCCAAGGGAAAACGAAATTCCAGCAGATCAGAGATTTGCCTTGTGTGTTAGTCTGCGGCTTGTTTCAGTTCACAATGTGGAAGATTGATGGTTTGAGTCTAACATGGACCAGTTTTCTATGTATGTATGTAATCATCACATATAATCATTTGTCATTCCGTCATTTAGGGCCTGAAATGTTTTGTCCCTCTAACATGTGTATATAGAA